CCCCTCCTTTTCCTCTTCCTCCTCTTCTTCTTCCTCCTGCTCCTCCTCTTCCTACCCCCCCCTCGAAAGCCCTGGGGCTTGGAGATGGAGGTTTACCAGGTCAGCATTGGAAGCCCCCTTCTCTTGCTTCCTCCTCTTCATCTCATCCTGGTAGAGCTGCAGGGAGAGTCCGTGGTCGCACTGGTGGCCCTGGCTGGGTTCCAAGGGCTCCTAGGAAGAAGAAAGCGTGCATTTGGCATCACCAAAGTGCCCATTTCATTTTACAGGGAGTCCTCGACTTACGACCAGAAAATTTAGCAAATTTCTGTTGCTAAAGAAACGCAATTATTAAGTGATCATTTCACCACCTTATTTCCACAGTTGTTAAGCGAATCGCTGCGCTTGTCAAGTCAGTAACACTGTCACTAAGTGAATCTGCCTCCCGCATTGACGTTGTTCGTCGGAAGGTTGCAAAACGGGATCACGTGACCCCGGGACACAGCGACCGTCGTAAACTTTAATTTACTTTGCAACTTTAATAAGATTTGTATGCCGCCCACTCTCGAGGAACCAGTTGCCCAGCCTCTGGATTTTGATCACATGGCCCTGGGGAGGGTGCAATGGACATAAGTGTGAAACGTGGTCGTAAGTCATTTACCCCCCAGTGCCACTGTAACTTCCAACGGTCACTAAATGAATGATTCTACCGGTAAATCGAGGACTCCCTGCACGTAAAAATAGTGGCACCCTAATTTTGCATGCATTTCTTAATTTAAAACATTTGGGGAGGGGGCTTGACTCATTTTTTTTCTGCTGTGATGCACCGTTTAGGGGGGGGGGCGATTGAAAGATGACAGGGTTTTAGTAACTTTTAGTAAGCAATTTTGTTGTATTTATTTTGTACAATAACAAGACTATACTAATTGGATTATTAGACTCAAATTGCCAATATTTGGAGGACCACCAGGTGGCAGCAGAGGGGTGGAGGGAATTTCAGGTAATAGCAATATAGCAATAGCAGTAGACTTATATACCGCTTCATAGGCCTTTCAGGCCTCTCTAAGCGGTTTACAGAGAGTCAGCATATTGC